TTGTATAGTTTTAGTACAAGTAATGCATTTGTAACCTGATGTATATAAGTATATATTATTAAATTGGATATCCAGACTTTCGGTTCCCCCACTGTGTCAGCGGTAAGTTTACCGACTTACAACGCTAAAATCCAGGGTTCATTATCTCGCGGTGTACAAAGCGCAAGTAGCCCATTGTGTAGCATTGCGCTAAAACAAAAACAAACAGATTCCAGACTCATCTTCAGTTATACTTTATCGATTATCAAGATAATTTTAACCCTCCTTCTTGCTTCTTTAGATATGTCGGAACAAAAGAAATCATCTTCTAAAGAACTAAAAAGTACGTGGGATATCGTATCTTCTGTTGTTGATACGATGGAAGAGGCTGAACGATTGAAAGGTGTGTTTTATTATTATTATATAATTGCATGAAACTATTAATATTTTATATCGTGAACTAACATACTTGCTTTCCTCTCTGAAAAAGTTGCCGAAAGCGGCGCCACTGACAAATCCGGTCCCTGCTTATTGTTCTCTTTAGTAAAAAGCCGCAAAATGTAGGGTATTGTTATTCACGTGTAAATTTTATAAAACTTCTCATTATATGTAAATATATTTACCTGTATTTGATAAATTAGATACATTTCTAGTAAATATTTTCAACACCTGACATATCTCCATGTTCAGTAAACCTGCAAAGTGATAATGTTATAATTTAAGTTGTAAATTTACAAGAATATAAAACACAAAATTGCGAATTAATTTAAATATTCTTTATATTGGCAAGAATATTCACTATATACGATATTAGTAACTTAGTAAAGACATGTTTTCTTGTTAATTATCTAAATATTACTTCAAGTTTACTGCTAGTTAATCATAAATTGATAATATCATTGTTTTTGCTAAATTGTATAACATTTTGTAAGAAAACATAATTGTTAGCACGCATATTGTTGTCTTCTTACTGCACATAGATTTTTCTATTACCTTACAATAAACGGTGAAAAGTTTTTTCCAATATCAGTGAAACCATTTCTTGGTACTTAATTTACGACGACTAGGGTGAGAGTGTGAATTACTGTCAACAGTTCACAAACTTCCTGTCTCCACTCAGTAATCAAAGCTGTAGCTGTAATAGTTTTTGCAGAAGAAGCTATTCAGCTTCTCTGAAGTAATATTTGAAGAAGCTGCAGAATTGGTGATAAATTGTTCATCTCTTTAAACAGGTTTAGACTGAATTCGCTTGTACTGCCACCCTACGGTGAAATAAAGTTTTGAAAGTTATTGAATGCTGGTTATTGTGAAATATATATTTAATATTCCATACTTTTGAAGCTGTTATGATATGTTCATGTGGAGTGTAGAATTCACTAAAACTTAATGTTTTAATGGTGATTTTTGTTCTTACCAGTGCAAAATATACAAATCAGCTGATATAAAAGTACGATGAAACAGAATGGACCAGAACTACATTTTGACATTGTTTGGCTTTTGGAGGTAATGTGATACCATCAAAAATTGATTGGTTTTGGGAAACGTATGTAACAGCCCTTTCCGACGCAAAATATTAATACAGTCAGATCATAAAGATGTATTCAGATCGGGGATTTCCAAGACAAAGATATCCCTTGTGCTTAATGCTGTTCGAAAACAAAATAGTATGGACTATCTTGGAGTACCAGGACCACCTAGAAAGAGACCCATAACAAGTCATACCCCTGCTATAGTCAGTACGCCACATGACCAAGAAGGATCTCCACCTGGAAAAGAGATACAAGTTGTTTCCACAAATGGATCAAACGTCCAGTATTTTTATTCCCTGTTATTCGTGTCAATTCTTCTCAAATGAATGTTTTTTTTTTTTGTGGTCAAATTAGAATATTAAGACTCAGACTTATAGTAGACGACACTCATGGTTGTTGTTGCATTTAACAGGAGAGTTTTGGATATTTACTGTTAGTTTTGTGTTTTATGCGGCTAAGCATGATCAGTTCTAGAGTAACATACCTCAAGCAGCCGAAGAACTAAATGGATATTCATGTTATTCCAGATGAAGCCACACAGGTGGAGTTGCCGGACGCATCGCATATGAATTTCAGTGCGATCGGATTTTTGAAATGAGCGCTTGGAAACCATCGTCCTCATAGACTAGATGAATTAATGAATTATGGAGAGTCTTAAAAGAGGAAAGACGTGATTTTAACATAACAGTCTTAGTTTGGAGCATTTTGCATTGGAAATTATGTTGCAGTGCATTGTCAAGATGCACTTTGTCAGATAGAGCATGACCGGGCGTGGCGACATGGATTATAACGACGTGGTGAGACTCCAAAATATTTTTAGTATAACATACTCAACCTCTGTAGCACTAATAAAGATGTATTTATAAAACGACTATATAAACATTTACTTTAATTATAAACTAGATATTCCACCATCAGGTAACATTTTAACATAATTACCTAAGTAAGAAACCCTTTTTCTCAATATATATAGGTGAAAGGATGTACCATTTAACAATTCAGGCTATCCAACGCGCAATTCGGCAAGAACAAGTTGAAACACAAGTGGATCAAACGGCAAGTATTCTTATTCGTGTTAATGTTTCTCAAATGGGTGTTTTCGATTGACAAATTGGACTTAAAGTGGTTACACTTTGATTGTTACTGCATTAAAAGAGAAGTTACTGCAAAGAGAAATGTTATAGTCACCGTTAGCTTAACTTTGCATTTATTTTATTAGGCTAAATATGACAGATATAAAACGTTATAGCAGTGCATGATTACGTATATTCCTTTAAATTTTACTTTATTTATATGGCTAACGTGGATGGGAATTGTATTTGCAATATGAAAAGAGACAAACGTATGTTGTCTTCATAATAATCAGCATAGACGTTTAAACTATGTCCACATATCGTTAACATGAATGTCTTTTAGTAAGTTATAGATTACAAATGCATTGTTTATCAGCTTGAAAAACGTTTTAAAACTTCATATCGTCATTACAGCTGCTTTCTGATGAAGAGTCACAAGAAAATAGTGTATCTTTCAGGTGAGTTAAGTCTGCCTTTAAACAATTCTACATAACAGACACTCATTACGTGCAATAATCTAATTTGTTTGCGCAAAGCTACACAAGAGCTAATTACTAACAATTTTGCACTTTACATTTCGGCTGGTAAGTAGGGTTCGATCCCATATCTTCGTGATAGAAAATCTCTTGTGTTTTCCACTTGTCCATGGAATCCCTATTAGAGCTTGAATCAATTATCTGAATGCTTTAAAGAAGGGTATCCAGGGTTGGCGGTTGGCTGTCAGTTATATACAGAGGAACATATTAGGTCATCAAGAAAATAATGTCGCGTTTTTTGGATGAAAAAACCCGAACAAGTTATATATCAAAACAAAACATTTATCAAATTATAGTCTCCATTCTTATCGATGATACTTTTCCATCTTACAATCAAGTTGTTAATGTCCTGATTAAAGAAATCACTTGGCTTTGAAGCTAAAAATATGTCGATGTTTTCTTTAATGCCTTCCACATTTGCATACGTTTTCGCATTAAGATGGTGTTGCACCGAACGAAAAAAGATAGTAATATGATGGCGCCATATCTGGAAAATATAGTGGGTGGGGGAAAACATCCCAACCCAACTCCATAATCCTGTGGTACGTCAAACGTGCCACATGGACATGCATTGTCGTGGAGAAAAACACCATATTGCTTAGATGTTTACATATTGTTTCATGAGAGAC